TTACAGAGAAGTAGAGTGAACCAAGGGGGGGCGGGTTTTCATCAAGGAGAAACAAACAGAACTTTCACACCATAGCCTGGCCAGTGATGAAACTGGTTTTCAAAGCTTCTCTGATGCGCAGCGTGCCCTGCTGTGCTCTTCTAACAGCTTGGTGTCTGGCTGCGCATAATCAGTGGCCAGGCAATTTGCCTCAACCTCCCACCCTGCCATAAACGTCTCCCCCTTACTCTCACAGATATTGTGGAGCACACAGCAAGCAGTAATAACGATGGGAATACTAGTTTCGCTGAGGTCTAACCAAGTCAGTAAACTGCGCCAGCGCACTTTTAAATGTCCAAATGCACATTCTACCACCATTCTGCACTTGCTCAGCCTATAGTTGAACAGCTCCTGACTACTGTCCAGGGTGCCTGTGTACGACTTCATGAGCCATGGCATTAAGGGGTAGGCTGGGTCCCCAAGGATAACTATAGGCATTTCAACATCCCCAACGGTTATTTTCTGGTCTGGAAAGTAAGTCCCTTGCTGCAGCCGTTCACACAGACCAGAGTTCCTAAAGATGCGAGCGTCATGTACCTTTCCCGGCCATCCAAAGTTGATGTTGGTGAAACGTCTCTTGTGATCCACCAGTGCTTGCAGCACCATTGAAAAGTACCCCTTTCGGTTTATGTACTGGCTACCTTGGTGGTCCGGTCCCAAGATAGGGATATGCATTCCGTCTATCGCCCCACCACAGTTAGGGAATCCCATTGCAGCAAAGCCATCCATTAGGACCTGCACGTTTCCCAGAATCACTACCCTTGATAGCAGCAGCTCAGTGATCGCGTTGGCTACTTGGATCACAGCAGCTCCCACAGTAGATTTGCCCACTCGAAATTGATTCCCGACTGACCGGTAGCGGTCTGACGTTGCAAGCTTTCAGAGGGCTATCGCCACTCGCTTGTGAACTGTGAGGGCTGCTCATATCTTGGTATTCTTGCGCTTCAGGGTGGGGGAAAGCAAGTCACAAAGTTCCATGAAAGTGCCCTTACGCATGCGAAAGCGTCCCAGCCACTGTGAAGCATCCCAGACCTGCAACACTATGCCCACCAGGCCCAGAATCACATTCCACGGCATGAACTTGCCCCATTAGCACCATGATGTCCAAATTGCCAGGGCCCGTGCTTTGAGAGAACTCTGTGTCCATGTCCTCATCACTCTCGTCACTACGCTGCCGTTGCCTCCTCGCCTGCTGTTGAAGTTTCCGGTGCTGTATATACTGCAGGATAATGCGGGTGGTGTTTACAGTGCTCATAACTGCCGCGGTGATCTGAGCGGGCTCCATGCTTGCCGTGGTATGTCGTCTGCGGGAAAAAAGGCGCAAAACTATTGTCTGCCGTTGCTCTCACGGAGGGAGGGGTGAGACACTACATGGCTTACAGGGTTGGCTTACAGGGAATTAAAATCAACAAAGGGGGTGGGTTTGCATCAAGGAGAAACACACACAAAACTGTCACACCGAAGACTGGCCAGTCATGAAACTGGTTTTCAAAGCCTCTGTGATGTGCAGCGCGCCTTGCTGTGCTCTTCTAATCTAATCGCAAACAGCCTAGTCAGCAAACAGAGTCAGCGAGCTTTTAAACGTCCAAAGGCACATTCTACATTTGTTCAGATTATAGTTGAACTGCTCCTTACTACTGTCCAGGCTTCATGAGCCATGGGAGCAAGGGGTAGGCTGGGGTAGGTGTGACCACGCGGTGCTGCCGGCTGGGAGAGCAGCCTGAGGCAGAAGCCTCCAACTGGCATGATATTCCAGGCAGGACTGAATCTCCATTAGACGAACCTTTTTGTCTAGGCGCCCCCGACCAACCTCACCGAGGTCGGCCAGGAGCACCCATGTCTGCCCAGGCGCCCCTGACCGACATCACCGAGGTCAGCCAGGAGCAACCAGGAGACGGCGGCAGACGGTGCAGTACAACTGCTAACCGTCTTTGCTAACTTGCAAAGGCAAGGAGCTGCTACTGTGTAGCAATGCAGTACCACGTCTGTCAGCAGCGCCCAAGAGACGTATGGTGACGGTGAGCTGAGCGGGCTCCATGCTTGCCGTGGTATGTTGTCTGCACAGGTAGCCCAGGAAAAAAGGCGAGAAATGATTTTTTGCTGTTGCTTTCACGGAGGGAGGGGGGCCTGACGACATGTACCGAGAACTACCTGCGACAATGTTTTTGCCCCATCAGGCATTGGGAGCTCAACCCAGAATTCCAGTGGGCGGCGGAGACTGCGGGAACTATGGGATAGCTACCCACAGTGCAACGCTCTGAAAGTCGACACTAGCCTCGGTACTGTTGACACACTCCGCCGACTTAATGAGCTTAGTGGACACACACAATCGACTGTATAAAATCGATTTCTAAAAAAATCAGCTTCTATAAAAATCAACCTGAGTTTGCTAAAGTCTACCTTCTTGAAATCTATTATTTTTATTGTGCTGTTTTCCCTCCTACCATTCCTTAGAATCATGAACTCTACCATTTCATGATCACTTTCACCTAAGCTGCCTTCCACTTTCAAATTCTCAACCAGTTCCTCCCTATTTGTCAAAAATCAAATCTAGAACAGCCTCTCCCTTTGTAGCTTTCTTCACCTTCTTAATCCCTCTGGAAGGACCTCTGCTTCTCCTGCCAGCTGTTACAACATGATTCCCTCTCCCTCCAGTCCTATTACCTATCTGTAAGCAGGCAATACAACAGAAATAGGCAGCAGTGCCAAGTGAAAGACGGAGCTGCATTATGCCGTATCTAGTGGGCAGGGGAGGCAGAGGAAGCAAGCACATGTGTAAAGCTATTCTATAAATCTGAACAGCAGGAAACTGAGTGCCTCCCTTTAAGACTCCCCCTAGGGTAGGGTGGATGGACAAGGAAGATGCTGCTGCCTCTGAAGAACAAAGCACAGCTGAGTCCCCTACTTAGCAGGTTAGACTCCTTTCTCCCTATTACATGGATTTGCAGGAGTATGTTAAGTTTTGTAGGTGGAGAGCTCAACCTCCAATATGGGTCATCAGCAGGATGTAAGCCCATGACCTTAAAAGCCACAGCACAAATTTCTTCCATTTCAGCTATGGACAAACCTCTAGAAGATGACATGTCACATAGTTTTCCAGTAGTTACACATCTCTCAGACAATACTGGAATGTTAGGTACCGGATTCCTGGTGTTGGGAGTAGAGTCATACCTCATCATTTGGCATATTCCTTCTGAAAGTCAGCATGGTCAAGTTGATCTGTCATATTTGAGACAATTTCTATTCCTGCTCTGCCTGATGTGATCTTGTGCAATTTTTCAGGTATCTTACATGTAAAATGTGTGAATAATAATTACCACCCCTTTGATAGGACATAAGATCTTGGTTAATATGGGTTGTGAAGTGTGCTGAAACATTAACAGCAGTTGGTCTCCTGGCTTGTGATACATTCCACTAGGCTACAGGATATCCTGTAATGGAACATGTCTATCTCTAAGATGCATGACAGACCTATTAAATATGAGAGTCATTGTGAGATGTGAGACCCTTGATAGATCTACAGATGCATGGCAGCAGAGTAAGGGCTTATCTACACTAGAAAGTTGTACCGCCGTAATTATACAGATACAGTTTTAGTAGTACAACACCCATAGTGTGGACTGTTATACCAATATACAGGCACTTTATATGGTGTAGCTATTCCTTTACACTAACTCCCAGCGCTACGTCAATGGAAGAATTCTTCTGCCATCCTAGCTACCGCCTCTCAGAGAGGTGGATTACCTACACTAACAGGAGAAGCCCTCCCATTGGCACAGGTAGTGTCTACTACACTGAAGTGCTACAGCTTCGTGCTGCTGTAGCATTTCAAGTGTGGACAAGCCTTAAGGGCTTGTCTTCAAAGCTAAAAAAGCTGCCTTTTTCACCTCAGGGTAATTAACATGCCTTACCTATCCCAAGGTAAAAAACACTGTGAAGACAAAGCACTTCAGTTTTAGCATGAGGTAAACTTGCCATGGTTAACTGCTGGCAGGGGCATAGGGGTGTTTACCTCCTGGTAAAACTGAAGTGCCTGGTCTTCACTGCGTTTTATCTCAAGATAGCTAAGGCATATTAATTAACCTGAGATAAAAAGGCAGCTTTTTTAGCTATGAAGGGCTGAGGGGAAAAGCACAGGATAACATTCATACAGTCTAAGGAAGCAACTTGGTGGTTCCTTTCTAAGTGCAAGCCCTGAGAGGGTGAAAGAGATGGACACCATTTCCCTTTCTTTTAGAGACTCCCCTTGTTTCAATGTAGGCTACTGTGCAGAGGCTCTCTAATCTGTACTTCTCCCTCCCAGCACCCACTTCAATCTCTTCTCCTTCCCCAATTACTCCCTCACGAAATCTTAAAATTTTATTTGTTAGTTACTTTTGCTTCACAAGAAGAGGGTATAATTATCCTCAATTCAAAAGTCTCGTATCAGTGGGACTCTAGAAAATTTTTATTGTATTATGAAAAACCAGAATATAGAAATACTCCTGTTATACCACTGATAAAACTACCTTGCATAGTGATACTAAGTTACATAACTTTAAACATCTCAAATTTATGCACATTGTTGGAAGTGATTGTGGTGTGGTACTGTAGGCCCATAAAACTGTGAAAGCCTAACATCGTCTCATTCCAATATAATTTAAAAGCCATTTATTAATTCTGTATTCAGCAGAGAAATAATCTCAGAGTAAACATGCCTTGTGATTTGTCTTGCATTTAATTTTTTTAAAATGTGCAGTTTTTAATTAACCATCTAAAATAGAATATACCACAATTTCCTCTTTATAGAGATTAAAAAGATGCAGTAAAATCTATATAATGGTTGACTGCAGAGCATAAGCCATCAAAATGCCAACAAAATTCCATACCTTACTGCTCAAATAGATGGGCTAGTTTGTTAGAGCCTAGCGAGGCCAACTCCAGGTGTTAGAGTACATGGGGAAAAAAAAACAGTCACATACCAGTTAGCAATGTCTTTATGAGCTACTAAATTCTGCAGGAATGCTTGTAGCCCCAACTGTCGATCTTCCAGGAAGTCAGGGTTATAATTATCCTTGAACCAGCGCTTTGGTGGAAGTGCCAATCGAAAGCCTGGAAACATATCTTTTAACTGAAATAGAAACCAAAGACAAATGAAGGAAGACTACAAATAGTGTACCTACTGAAATACTGAATTAGATAAGCCACTAATCAGCTTTTCCCTTAATAATCAGGAATTCCCTTCCATCACCATTAACTCAAGCAACATGAATATTTGGCATACATAAAGTGACTAATCCACACTATAGTGTAAGTTTCTAATCACAGCGTTGCCATTCATTGTTTGGCCCTTGGCAGTCAACTGACCTCTCAATTTTGCCATCCGAAAAATGGGAAGAGTTACCCACCTCACTTTTGTGTTTTGATGCTTTAATTTTGTATACCTTTATGAGTTATAAAGCACTGTGCAAATGCTAAAGTATTACAGCATCAAACATTTCATTGTAAAGCACTTTAGGATTCTTTGGGATGAAAGGTGCTATATAAATAAAATATATAAAAGCCATTACAAACCCAGAGGAATGCAAGTCATCCCTTTTTCGGGCCAGCCAATCAAAATCAATTTTGACACATACATGAGGCACTTCTGGCATAGAGCATTAACATTTCAAGATACACAGATCCAGCAAAAATCCCAGTGCTAAATATTTTGTGGCATATTCACACAGCAATGAAATGTTTTTGAAGTGTCAGAAATAACTTTTACACTATTTTACCCGAATATAAAAATGAAATATGAAAGTGAACTGACTGTCCAAAATCAAACTTATTAAACCATGCATAATGGTCTTGAACTGAAAATAAATTTGAGCTATCACAAGGGGTCATTTGTTGCTAGGGTTGCCAACTTTCTGACTGCAGAAAACCGAACACCCTGGCCCCACTCTCTGCCCCGCCCTTTTTCTGAGGCTCCGCCCCCGCTCACTCCATCCCCCCTTCCTCAGTCATTTGCTCTCCCCCACCCTCACTCACTCGCTCTTCACTGGGCTGGGGGAGGGGGTTGGAATGCAGGAGGAGGTAAGGGCTCCAGCTGGGGGTCCGGGCTCTGGGGTGCAGGAGGAGGCTCCAGGCTGGCGTGTGGGGTGAGGGATTCGGAGTGTGGGACGGGGGGCTCCAGGCTGGGGTAGGGGGTTGGTCTGTGGGAGGGCTCTGGGGTGGGGCCAGGGATGAGGTTTTTGGGGTTCAGAGTGCGGGAGAGGGATCAGGGTTGGAGCAGGGGGGTAGGGTGCACGCGGGAGGGTGTGTGGGCTCTGGGCAGTGCTTACATCAGGTGGCTCCCAGAAGCAGATGGCATGTCCCTCTGGCTCCTAGGCGCAGGGGCGGCCAGGGGGCTCTGCACGCTGCTCCCGTCCGCAGGCGCCACCCTCGCAGCTCCCATTGGCTGTGGTTCCTGGCCAATGGGAGCTGTGGAGCCAGTGCTCAGGGCCATGCCTGTGCTACGGGCAGGGGTAGCTACGGAGCTCCCCTGGCTGCATCTGCGCCTAGGAACCGGAGGGGCATGCCAGCTGCTTCTGGGAGCCGCAAAGCACTGGCCACTGCAGCCAACCAGACTTTCAGCGGCCCTGTTAGCCATGTTGACCAGAGCTGCCAGGGTCCCTTTTCAACCGGGCGTTCCGGTCAAAAACCAGATGTCTGGCAACCCTATTTGTTGCATGTGCTTTCCAAACAGAGATATAAGCATGAGGTGGGCCCAGAACAAAGGGACATTGGGTATGGTGGATATTATATACACACATTCAAAGTTGTGCAGATTCCTTTATCCAAACCCTGGTGCTCAATATGATTCACCTATGCACTATTGCAGATAGATCTGTCTCTGTGCTTACAGACATATCAATTACTCAGTGCAGTAAGCAGTTAAAAACTATTCCATGATAAAAGCAAAAAATATTGCCTAACAGTCTACTTCTATGATAAATATCACATGTATTTCAAATAGAAACCTTCATTTTTAACTTCAGGGAAATTACAACTATCTCATGAATCTCAGTATCAACCTAGGTCAGAGGTTTTATAAGTGTAATGTTATCTTTATCTTGCTAGAAAACTGAAGGCTACATACACCTGTGACTATCTCTGGTTTCTGCCATCATCCCAATCCACAGCCTAAGCTGATTTGTGTATTGCATCATGTCTTTTGAACCCTGTTGCATGTATAGCCTTTTAGCTCAGATATCCAAAGAGCACAGTACTAGTATTAATACATGCTGAGTAAACAACTATAAATATGAGTGGACAGACTTCTTTTTCTCTCTGCTTCTTTTAAGTCTTGTATATCCTTAGAGTACCAATTTAGCTTGCTGTAAAGTACTTTAATCCTAAAACTTTGAGAGGATTCACATATTAAAATTATAAAGAAAAATTCCAAATTACGCCAAAAAAACTTTTGAAAGTACTCATCGGAAAGGTGTGAAATTCTGCAAGTGGAATGAGACAAAAAAATCCACTACGATAGTTTTCCCTTTAAAACAAACAAAATATCTTTATTATGTTATGATGCTGACAAAAAACTAGGAACTTCAAAGTAAAGGCTTTATATTAATGGCCTTCACTCACACTCATCCAAACAAAACTCGCATGACAATATCATGTGACAGTTTAGTCTTAGTTTCCAACTTTGACAACCTATATCCTAACTAAGTAACATTTTTTTTGTAATGCATCCAAAAAATGCCTTCAGTCCCCCATCTACAAAACAAGATTAAGCTTCTCCACCAAAACAAATCAGTTTTGACCTGGAGAGAAAGAGTGTTGAGTTAAATCTCTATGCTTATCAATTCTTGGCCTTTGTCTTGACAGGACTAACAAAATGTTAATTGTTAGATGGATGACTAGGCTACTAGCAATTGAACTGAAACCACCAACACTACAGCCAAGGAAAGAGAAAATGTGAAGGGAGAGTGTATGATCAGGCTTTAGCTAGTGCCAAAGCAGTGCATAGAATGAGAAAGATGGAGTTGAGGCTCTGAAATTTGTCCAGGACGACAAACTGATTCATGTACAGTGGTCTTCTAGTTTAAACATTCTATTGTATTTTGACACCTGTCGTTATACAGGTGGCCTAGAGGATAACCAATAACAGACACAAGGACTCCACGGCAACACTGTATATGTGCAATGTGCAAGTTGTTACTTAAGTTGCAAGACAATAACCAAGACATTGTTTATAACCGTTATTGCACCCATGCTTTTTTGGGTCCATGTGCCTAAATAATCTCTTGATTGGTTAGATCAGGAGAAGAAGAACAAAGAGAAAGAACTGAACAAAAATGTAACAAGGATGAAAAGACAAATTACAATGTGTTTAGAAATATAAAAATGAAACATCAATAAACATACTGAAGAAGCAATAGAAATGTCAAATAGTAAAAGACAAAATGTGAAGCAGATATTCTTGAGAATAAAGAGAAAATATAATTTCTCCTTGTAGACTCCCATACTCCTAAATTTTCACGTATCCCACTATTTGTGTTCTATAAACACTGAACAAACTTGTCCAGCAGAAACACAAGAAGTTCACTGTAAAAGGATATTATTTCTATAAAGTTCAAAGTTAAGTTGCTGGCCTATACATGCTCTCTCCTGTACTAGCCTTTACTTTTATATCAGCTTCTTGTAATTAAAAAAAATCAATACTTATGGAATCTATTAACTCCCAAGTCTCTGAAGACAAATACAGAAGACTAGCATTTCCCATAAACATATGTAATACTTTTGGAGCTCATATAAATCAGGAGCATCAGATCTAACCGTCGATCAATACAATTCTACTGCATTAGGAGACACTATGAAGATGAGGAGGCTAGATAAATACTCTATCATTCTTGGAAGACAACTAGATAGTCTTACCCCACTTCTATCCAAGTGTTTAATTATTAAGAGTTAAATACCCTGCATTCAGGTACATACAGTGTATTATGAAGCATTAAAACAGTTTCACTTGAAAAATAAATTCCATGAATTTTCTAAAAGTGACAAATCCCAGTGTTTTCCAGTCATTAGTATGAACAAACTAATCCTTTATATGTGCAAAGAAATCAAAAGCAAAAGCAGATGTAGAAAAGTCAACATAAGATAAGCAAAGTTAGAAATAAAGGAAACAAAAGAAATAGATCACACAAAATCATTTGAGAACTTGCCAGTTTAAACTTGTTACTCACCTTGTCATTAAGCCTGGAGAAGTCAGTGTACCTTCTGAAAACCACCCAACTTTCCTCTGGACTTCTCTTTACCAGTATTTTGTAAACCTATTATATAAAAATCAATAGCATGGCTTCAGAAAAGGGTACAAACAATGCATCCTCCTATTATAGTTCAATGATTGGAAGGCTGAAATAACCACTCTCCTGTTCGAGAAAGTGGAAGGATGATATAAATGAAAAAAGTTTAACCAAAAATATTAGCTAAAGGTATTCTACAGATTTAAATTTAGGGTTTTTTAAAGTTCTCTCATAACATTTAAATGGAAATTAACATGCCTTGACCATGAAGGGGAAACTAAGGAAAGGAAAGGAAAAAAAAAGGGAAATTCCTTTCTCTCTAAGAACAAAGAGTGACATCCTGGCTCCAATGAAGTCAGTGGTAAACTCTGATTGACTTCAATGGAGCCAGGATTTCCTCCAAAGTATTTTCCACCAAAGTTGAAACTTCTGGTACCAAAGATACATCAATAAAACATGCTATAACTAATTAGGTCTGTTGGAATTAGCCTGTATTCCAGCTTTACTTTTTACTGATCCATGAGACCAATCTCCCTCTTAAACATAACATTGATGCTACCAAGCAGGCTCTGGGGCAGTATTAATTTTGAACTCTGTATCATCTAAAAGATCCAGATCTGCACTGGATAACGGTTTGAAAACTTGGTTGCACATACTCACACATGTAGGTACTGCAGGACAACCCCCCTCCACTACCCCCACCTCCCCAAAAAGACAATCACTGTTTTGACTTACATTTTTATTCAGCCTGGTAGTTTTTGTCCTCCCAAGTGACTGAACATGACAAACCAGCCAATAATGTATATACTAGTTCAGAGTGACCGAGCTGACAGTATCAAAATTATAGTAATTGATCACTTGACTCAGATGTGGTGTCATTACATCACAACAATCCCACTTGATCAGGACATGCAGGCAAATGAACAATAGGCACAAAGGATGGATTTTAAGCAGCATGCCACAACTTCAACACTAATGTGCCCCTTCCCCATCTCTCAAACACCAGGTATTTAAGTGGGTCCAGTTTGGTGTTCAGGACTTCCAACATACAACCAATAACTTGGGGTAGACCCAGGTAGGCCCACCTTTGGGACTCAACTCACTTCTGAATGTCTCTACCTACTCCTGCATGGGAGGCAACAGTTATCAAGGGAGGACCTTAGTCTGAAGATTTCAGGTTTCCCATTTTTCCCCATAGCAAAAAGACCACCAGTGAAAACCTGGGTCTCACTTACCTTTGAAAGCTGGTCCCTTTTAGCCTTATCCACAATGGAGGAAAAGGCTTTTGAAAAGCCCAGGGAAGTCTAAATAGGAGAGTTGGGCTTCCATGAGAACCAGTTGACTAGCTCGTTCCCGCATCCCAACCCAATGGCAAGGCAACAGACCTCAGGGGTGGAAGCCCCTTTCCCACGCATGCATGAACCTTCATGTTCTTCCCATGCACTGTGTACTCCCCCTGCAGGCTACTCAAGATTGTCCCTTCCCTGCAGTCAACAGGGGAGTATTCTTCCACCTTTCATTTGGTTATGGGGGAGAGGAAAGAGGCAGGAAAAAAAGTGACAGAGGTAGAGATAATGGTATAGAAAAATGCATGAATACCATGGAGCTAAAGAGGTGCTGTAATATAGAAAATATTAAACACTGTCCAAAAGAAAATAAGTTGAGTATCACTGATCTACAATATACAGTAGCTAAGTACATGAAGATCTACAGTGAATCAAGAACTCATGAGTTTATTAGTAAAAACAATGTGAAGATACTTCCAGTACTCCAAGATTACAACCTTGATTTCCCAGTGCAAGGAAAAATAATGAAAAGCTTAGTTAATATTGGGTTTTTTTTGCACAGTATAGGCTGATACAGCTCCTTGGTTAAATTGACAAGAAGCAAGAAATTTCTGGAATTTTAATTGTAAACAATTCTTCCCCCAGAGATATCCTATACATACTCTGCTTCTTCATACATTTTTCTTAACCATCTTTTCCCCCTGGTATAAGAAATTTTACAGTACTTCAAGTTTTTTTATAGCAAATTCTTCATTTACTGGTAAATACAGTTTCCGCTATAGTCTCAGTAGCTAATAACTCTCAATTTTGGGAAATCTATGTGAATCATTCTCAGAGAGTTAGACTACTTTTTGCTCATTTGGTCCTTCATAAAGGTAAAATTGTAGACAGTTGTACTATGGTTTAAAAATAAATACACAGAATGATATGAAAAAGAAAATACAAAAACACACCTATGAACAGGTCTTTACGGATATGTCTACACAGTAAAGAGAAACCCGTGGCTAGACCATGCCAGCTGACTTGGGCTTGTGGGGCTTGGGCTGCGAGGCTGTTTCACTGCTGTGTAGACTTCCAAGCTTGGGCTGGAGCCCGAGCACCCTGGGACCCTCCCACCCTGCAGGGTCCTAAGGCTTGGGCTCAGCCCGAGCTCAGAAGTCTACACTGCAATGAAACAGACCAGCATCTTGTGAGCCCGAGTTGGCTGGCATAGGCCAGCTGTGAGTTTTTCTTTGCTGCACAGACATACCCTATGTTTATTATAGTCACTAATTAGCTTTAAAAAAAACCCAACTTTCTTAGAGTATAGAACTCTATATGTTGAAGCACTGAGACTGATAGAAATCACTTCTCTGTGTAAGTTGCATTGTACAGTGGTTTAAAAATATAAGATCTTATCTTGTAATTCAGACTAATGATACAAGATCCATTTGTAAAACCAAGACACCGATACAAACTAATTGCTGATGTGATGAAACATAAGGATGGAGAACTGTAGGTTACGAAAGCTAAAATCACTCATCTGTATATACTATAACTGACAATTGGTTTGTGTTTTCAACATGTTCAGAGATTGTTACTGCAGTTTATGAAAATGCTCTGCCACCAAGCAATTAAATAAGCATAAAAGAACAAGTCCACAGAGCCATTTAAAAAAGACTGTAGAGTTCTGCAGTCAGAGTTATGCAAAAAGACAGACTGCTTACGTATATGCAGAAAATAATGACTCTGTCCACGTCTTGAATATTTTCTGGGTCAACATCTTCCAAGATTATCATCATTTAAATCTCCCTTCCCTCAAATCTTCCAAGACTTATGTCAGGTTTTCCAACTGATAATTGGTTGACAACTTTACTTGCATTGCTTTATGTGCTAGACACAAAAGATTTATATTTTTAAAATAATCATTTGGCTTAGCCACCTTACTACATGAAACCAAGTGTTTAACAGTAAAGTATTTCAATAAATTTATACTAAATTTTAGCAGCAAAGTGTTCCATAATAAAAATGAAGTTGAAGTTTAACTTTTCAAAGCAACTCTTGCAGGAATCATTGAATTCCAAAAACTATAAAAAGAAGAAATTGAAGGCTATTTATATTTTAGGGAATACCATATATTAAAGTATTTGACCACTATAGCAAGGAAGTCTTCCTGGCAACTTTTCAAAAAGCTATTTCTATTGAGCTTCCATCCCCTTCCTCCTTCCTCCTCTGTGCCTTATTGGTTTTAAGAAGGTTTCACAGGTCTGATTGCTGATGTGACCTATCAATGATTGATTCAATTATTACTTAATGCTCATAGTTTATATAGGTATAACTCGGTTTTCACTTATTTATTGAAAACATGAAACACAGATGTTGAATAGTTCCCCACTATACATTTTCAAATGCAACAGTTATAGAAAAGAGAAGCAAGGCATTCAGCAAGAGCAACAAACCTGAAAAATTAAGTATCAGTGTAAATATAATACCTGGAGCACATATGATAGGATTCCCAAACTAAAAGATTTATTGTAGTCCAAAGCCAAGCTCCTCTTTTGTTAAGCTCTCCATGTTTGTATTTAAAAAAAAAAAAAAAAAAAAAAAATTTGGCCCCGATCCTGTAAATATTTATATTAATTTAATACGACCTTAAGTGTTACAGAATAGAGGCATTTATTTATATCTTACTTCGTCCTTTTGCATTTGATTTTATCTTTGTATTTTAAAAGAAGCTGAAGTGAACATGGTTGTTCTTATAACAACTTCACTGTTAGCATCTTTTCAGACCAAACTTACTTGTTAGCATAACAGCACCATTCATTCTGTCACCACAGTTTTGAAGCTAGTGTTTATTAGAAACCTAAAAACTAACTTATATGTGACATAATTTTGCTAATGTGTTTTTTGGAATGATAGCGAGGATAATGTTAAAAGTTGAGAAATGTATGAAGTCACTGAAATAAATGTTAACTTCCTTTAAAATACTATAAGTGAAAAAACTTCTTACAAAGAGATTCATAATTTTCATTTTTAAAAATATATTTGTAAGTGTCTGATGGCATTAACTTCCAGTCGCTATTAACCTGGAAGAAACTGAAGCTGAATTAGAGAGAGAGAAAAAAAAACTCCATTCACCAATTTCCAGCCCCATCTAATTTGCACCTACTTGCTTTGTGATTAATATTATTTTCCTGACCATTACTAGGAAATTGTACACATTATGTCACATTGGCCTCTTAACCACAAGTGATTTTTTTCACTTAGAAGTCACAATCTTTAGGAATGTGAAGTCTCAATGAAGTGCCTCAACCACATCCATTGAAGTAAATGTCTTCTTCATCTGTTTAGTTCTAAATGGGACGTCAAAGGAATTACAACTGGCAGCTATTCCACACATTCCGTAAATAATTTTCAGAACAGTTAAGTTGGTATTTTGACATGAGATGCCAGACATGATTGTTTGCAGCTTATTGTTCATGCATTCATATTGAAGTGTTTGGAACACAACAGATCTGTTTTAAAGGGGCTAACACTGGCAAAACAAAAAGCTACAAAACATGTAGTTTTGGCATTTTAGCAAGTTCTTTAACAGCTGTAAAGATAAAAAACATGTCAGTCTTTTAATGCTTGTTTTAAAGAGGATAAATTATCTTTCAGACATTAAAACATGAAGAATCTCTCCCATAGCTACTTATCCTGCACTTAGGACGGAAGAATCCCATGCACTGCTACAGACTAGGGACCGAATGGCTAGGCAGCAGTTCTGCAGAAAAGGACCTAGGGGTTGCAGTGGACGAGAAGCTGGATATGAGTCAACAGTGTGCCCTTGCTGCCAAGGCGGCTAATTGCATTTTGGGTTGTATAAGTAGGGGCATTGCTAGCAGATCGAGTGACGTGATCATTCCCCTCTATTCCACATTGGTGAGGCCTCATCTGGAGTACTGTGTCCAGTTTTGGGCCCCACACTACAAGAAGGATGTGGAAAAATTGGAAAGAGTCCAGCAGAGGGCAACAAAAATGATTAGGGGGCTGGAGCACATGACTTATGAGGAGAGGAACTGGGATTGTTTAGTCTGCAGAAGAGAAGAATGAGAGGGGATTTGATAGCTGCTTTCAACTACCTGAAAGGGGGTTCCAAAGAGGATGGCGCTCAGCTGTTCTCAGTGGTGGCAGATGACAGAACAAGGAGTAATGGTCTCAAGTTGCAGTGGGGGAGGTTTAGGTTGGATATTAGGAAAGACTTTTTCACTAGAAGGGTGGTGAAGCACTGGAATGGGTTACTTAGGGAGGTGGTGGAATCTCTTTCCTTAGAGGTTTTTAAGGTCAGCCTTGACAAAGCCCTGGCTGGGATGATTTAGTTGGGGACTGGTCCTGCTTTGAGCAGGGGTTGGACTAGATGACCTCCTGAGGTCCCTTCCAACCCTGATAGCTATGATTCTATCACTTGCTTGGTATTTTTTTCCAAGGAATTTCTGACCTGAAAGGAGAAAAGATGGTCTTATGGTAATAGAGTAGCTGATACAGGACCTGAATAGGAATACAAAGAGGGTATTATAATTAATTTAAATCAACAAGGGTTTAATGAAAAATAGATCCTGTCAAACTAACTTGGGATCTTTTTTGATGAATTTACAAGTTTGGGTATATTTAGACTTCTGTAAGGTATCTGACTTGGTACCACACATTGTGAGTAAAAACTAGAATGATATAAAATCAACATGGCAAACATTCAATGCGTTAAAAACTGGCAGGTCTCAAAATATAATTGTACATGGGAAAGAGTGGGTGTGTTTCCAGGTCTGTCCCGCAAGGATAGGTTCTTGGCCCTACACTATTTAACATTTTTATCAATGACCTGGAAGAAAACAAAATCATCACTGATAAAGTTGGCAAATGACACCAAAAAATGGGGTAGTGGTAAATAATGAAAAGGACAGGTTACTGACTCAGAGCAATCTAGATTGCTTGGTAAACTGGGCACAAGCAAACCTTATGCCTTTTAATAGATTAAATGTAAATATATACATCTACAGACAAAGAATGCAGGCCACATTTTCCTGGTTGGGGGACTATCCTGAGAAGCAGTGACTCTGAAAAATATTTGGGGGTCACAGTGGATAATCAGCAGAACATAAACTCCCAATTTATTTTTGTGGGCAGAGGAGCTAATGCAATCCTGGGATGTATAAATAGGGGAATCTCGAATAGGAGTAGAGAGGTTATTTTATATCTATATTTGGCACTGGTGTGACTGCTGCAGGAATACTGTGGCCAGTTCTGGTGACCACGATTCAAAAAGGATGTTGATAAATTGGAAGAGAGTTCAGAAAGAGCCACGAGAATGATTAAAGAATCAGAATACATGCCTTACAGTGAGATTCAAAGAGCTTAGTCTATTTATCTTAATAAAGAGAAAGTTAAGGTGTGATTTGATTGCAGTCTTAAGTATCTACCTAGGGAACGAATATTTCGTAACGGGCTCTTCAGTGTAGCAGAGAAAGGTATAAGATGATCCAATGGCTAGAAGTTGAAGCTAAACAAATTCAAACTGGAAAAAAAGGTGTAAAGTTTTAACAGTTAGTAATTTAATTAACCATTGGAATAATTTACCAAGGCTCGTGATGGATTCTCCATCCCTGACAATTTTTAAATCAATACTGGATGTTTTTCTAAAAGATATGCTCTAGGCATTATTTTTGGTGAGTTCAATGGGCCTGTGTTATACAGAAGGTCAGACTAGATCATCACAGTGGTTTGTTCTGACCTTGGAACCTATAAGGCAATGAACTGGGTTCCATTGCAGAGTGTCTGAGACTTTGGGAAAGAAAACCTACGTGCCTCAGTTTCCCCATCCGTACAATGGGGAAACTACTCTGACACCTCACAGCAGTATTTTGAAGCTAAATTAAAGTTTGTAACACACTCTGAGATCCCTGAACGGAAGGTTTAATTATTTAAATGAAAAGCATTATGAAATAAAATTCATGATCCCATTATCTTTACAGGAGGAACTGCACTTCACTGAAACAAACTTACAGTGAATTTTGCCCTTTCTTCCATCACCTCATACCCCAGTATGGTAGGTGTAGAAGGTCGATCTTCCCAGCTCCCAGAGTCTGTATTTTGCTCAATATCTTCCATAGGCTGAGTACAGTATTCAATAGATGTGTCCACACCTGTAAATTTAGTCCTAACAAGTGGGCTACTACATATAGATGACGTGGAGCCAATCTGTGCAGGCACACTCATCTTTTTAAAACTACCAATGGTAGAGTCCTCCAGCTGCCCTTTTGAAGAATTTGAATTTGTTGAGATGCTCCCAAAGGAAGAACTTCTTTGGTTTCTGTTTGTTGTAAAGTTGGAAGAGGAACTTCCTATAGGCATAGGAACAGGAACGTAGGGGGTTGCCATTCTTCATTAGAAAACTTCAGCAAATCTACACTTTGTGGTCCAAGAATTTAAGGTTCATTCTCTTCTTTTCAAGAAGACAATATCTGGAAACAAAATAAAACAAAACAAAACAAAAAAAAACAACACACTTTGAAATGACTATCTTTCTTAATATTTCTACAATGAATATAATATTAAAATAATGTATTTGGAGGAGTCCACAGTTACATTAAGATAACAGTTAAAACACCGTTACATGGAATTTGCTATCATGTTAAGTGCCCCCTCAAAAGTTAATCTTTAATTTTTAAAAGGTGCATTGTCAGAGAGGTCCTCTACCTCTCAGAGCCATTAAAACCTGAATGGATAGTTAAGGTATGACTTGCATCCCAGTACACAAACCCAAAGAAAAAGATTGTATTTAAATACTGTTGCATCATGGGTGATGCATAATGGAGGCTGGGGGAGGCGGCCGGGAAAGGGGAACAGTGGTGGATTTGGGACACTCGGAAAAATCTCCCCTGCCATTGCCCCGGGGCTGGAGGAACTCTCACTCCCTGCTGTGGCCCTGGGGCCCTGGCGGGGACACAGAGCTTTTCCGGTCTCAGGGCTGAAGCAGGGTGGGGGAGGAGAAGGAGCGGGGGGCCTTGGAGGGAAGAGGTGGAGTGGGGGCAGAGCCGCGGGGGAAGAGGCAGAACAGGGTTGGACCTTGGGCAGATGGAAGGGGCAGAATAGGGGAGAGGCTCAGGGCTTCAGCTAGGGTCAAGAGCTCTGCCGGTCCCGGCTGAGAACTTGACCCCGGCTGAGCTCAGGTCCCCCACCCACTCATGGCCCCGACCTAGCTCTCAGCACGGTGGGGCGGGGGCTGAAAGCAGCAAGTGGGACGTGGCCTTGGCCAGAAGAGGCAGGGCAGGGGACTAGCCTCTCCAAGGAGAAGCTTCCCCCGCCGCCAAGTGTTGCATCACTAGTGGAAAAATTACAACTTTTTGGTTACATGGATAGATACTTAAAACAAACGGCAACTTTTAAAAATTTTGTAATTACTAATATTTAGCATAAACAAATTGAAGCTTCCCTCCTGAAGTGTTATCATTATAAGATTTTGTAAGGCTTAAGAAGCACACAACATAAACCAAATCCATAATAATAAATAATAATAATAATAATGATTTACATATCATGAATCAAAAGGAAACACACAGTAACCTACAGGTGTGGGTGGAATGGAAGATACATTTATGTATATTTCATACGTACTAAAATATGGCACGTATCCTTGCAAAGGAAATTATGAGTTTGAAAAAATGCTTAAGTGTAGAGCATACAATATTACAGGCATTTATAGGGCGTTCATAACCATGTTATCTGGGCACATTTTACATGGTTTGAGCTGGAAGCATTAAGTATTGGAAGCATTTGCAGAACAAAAGGAGAGTAGAGGCTATAAAAATTAAAAGCTCAATAATAATGGGGGATTTCAACTATCCCCATATTGACTGGTACATGTCACCTCAGGATGGGATGCAGAGGTAAAGTTTTGTAACACCTTAAATGACTGCTTCTTGGAGCAGCTAGTCCTGGCACTGACAAGAGGCGAGACAATTTTTGATTTAGTCCAAAGTGAAGCACAGGATCTGGTCCAAGACGTGAATATAGCTGGACGGCTTGGTAATAGTGACCATAATATAATTAAATTTAACATCTCTGTGGCGGGGGAAACACCACAGAAGCCCAACACAGTAGCATTTAATTTCAGAATAGGGAACTACACAAAAATGAGGAAGTTAGTTAAACAGATATTAAAAGGTACATTGCCAAAAGTGAAATCCCTGCAAGCTGCATGGAAACTTTTTAAATACACCATAATAGAGGCTCAACTTAAATGTATACCCCAAATTAAAAAACACAGTAAGAGAACCAAAAAAGTGTGAAAAAAATAACAAAGTAAAAGAAGCAGTGAGAGGCAAAAAGGCATTCTTTAAAAAGTGGAAGTTAAATCCTAGTGAGGAAAATAGAAAGGAGCATGAACTCTGGCAAGTGAAGTGTAAAATATAATTAGGAAGGCCAAAAAAGAATTTGAAGAACAGCTAGCCAAAGACTCAAAAAGTAATAGCAAAAAAATTAAGTACATCAGAAGCAGGAAGCCTGCTAAACAACCAGTGGGGCCACTGGATGATCGAGATGCTAAAGGAGCACTCAAAAACGATATGGCCATTGTGGAAAAACTAAATGAATTCTTTGCATCAGTCTTCACGGCTGAGGATGTGAGGGAGATTTCCAAACTTGAGCCATTCTTCTTAGGTGACAAATCTGAGGAACTGTTCCAGATTGAGGTGTCATTAGAAGAGGTTTTGGAACAAATTGATAAAATAAACAGTAATAAGTCACCAGGACCAGACGGTATCACCCAAGAGTCCTGAAGAAACTCAAATGTGAAATTGCAGAACTACTAACTGTGGTGTGTAACCTATCATTTAAATCTGCTTCAGTACCAAATGATTGGACAATAGCTAATGTGACGCCCATTTTTTAAAAGGGCTCCAGAGGTGAGCCCGGCAATTACAAGTCTGTAAGTCTGACTTCAGTACCGGGCAAACTGGTTGAAACTATAGTAAAGAACAAAATTGTCAGACATATAGATGAACATAATTTGTTGGGGAAGAGTCAACATGGTTTTTGTAAAGGGAACTCATGCCTCACCAATCTACTAGAATTCTTTGAGGGGGTCAACAAGCATGTGGACAGGGGGATCCAGTGGATATAGTGTACTTAGATTTTCAGAAAGCCTCTGACAAGGTCCCTCACCAAAGGCTCTTAAGCAAAGTAAGCTGCCATGGGATAAGAGGGAAGGTCCTCTCATGGATTGATAACTGATCAAAAGATAGGAAACAAAGAGTAGGAATAAATGGTCAGTTTTCAGAATGGAGAGAGAAAAATAGTGGTGTCCCACAGGGGTCTGTACTGGGACCAGTACTATTCAACATATTCATAAATGATCTGGAAAAAGGGGTAAACGGTGAGGTGGCAACATTTGCAGAGGATACAAAACTACTCAAGATAGTTAAGTCTATAGTTAAGATAGATCGTCAAAGCAGACAGCGAAAAGTTACAAAGGGATGTCACAAAACTAGGTGACTGGGCAACAAAATGGCAGATGAAATTCAATGTTGATAAATGCAAAATAATGCACATTGGAAAACATAATTCCAACTATACATATAAAATGATGGGGTCTAAATTAGTTGTTACCACGCAAGAGAGATCTTCGAGTCATTGTGGATAATTCTCTGAAAACATCCACTCAATGTGCAGCGGCAGTCAAAAAAGCGAACAGAACGTTGAGAATCATTAGGAAAGGGATAGGTAATAAGAAAGAAAATATCATATTGCCTCTATATAAATCTGTGGTACACCCGCATCTTGAATACTGATTGCAGATGTGGTCGCCCCATCTCAAAATAGATATATTGGAATTGGAAAAGGTTCAGAAAAGGGCGACAAAAATGACCAGGAGTATGGAACGACTTCCGTATGAGGAGAGATTAATAAGATTGGGACTTTTCAGCTTGGAAAAGAAATGACTAAGGGGGGATATGATAGAAGTCTATAAAATCATGACTGGTGTGGAGAAAATAAACAAGGAAGTGTAATTTACTCCTTCTCGTAACATAAGAACTAGGTCACCAAATGAAATTAATAGGCAGCAGGTTTAAAACAAAGAATAGGAAGTATTTCTTCACACAACGCACAGTTAACCTGTGGAACTCTTTGCCAGAGGATGTTGTGAAGGCCAAGATTACAAGAGGGTTCAAAAAAGAACTAGATACATTCATGGAGAACAGAGCCATCAATGGCTATTAGCCAAAATGGGCAGGGATGGTGTCCCTAGCCTCTGTTTGCCAGAAGCTGGGAATGGACGACAGGGAATGGATCACTTGATGATTACCTGTTCTGTTCATTCCCTCTGGGGCACCTGACATTGGCCACTGTCGGAAGACAGGATACTGGGCTAGATGGACCTTTGTTCTGACCCAGTACGGCCGTTCTTATGTTCTTAACTCCTTCAGGTGCCCTGACTTTAAAGACACATATAATGTGCAAGAACACACTACTTCATACTTGGAGATCATGTTACACAGTTTTAAATTCTCAACAACAAAAACCTTTTGATCTGTCATGATTTGCTAATGGCAGAGTTCAAAAATACAATAAAAAACTAGAATCTTTGTATGGAAGCCAAATCATCAGCAAAAGAAAACAATGCAAATGTGACAGCCCTAAATCTCAACTTAACTTAAAGTAATCGCTCCTACACATTTACTTGGATTGACACAACACATGAAAAGGAAGAAGAAAAATCAGACAAAAAACTGTTTTGCTACTTGCTTAAAAGTATTTTGACAGATAAGAGGCTCACACTGATGCAGTGAGGATGACCGATTAAGGATAATTTTAAATGAGCTACCCATCTAATGTATTAAAGTTTAATACTACTCTCATATTTCATTACAATAAAGCAGTGAAATCATTACACCCCAGCTACTTCACGGATGCATACAGCAAACATTCAGCACACTCTAATGCTATAACAAAGTAAACAACTTTTCTCCATCTTATCCAGAGAGACCTGGATTTTCCCTGTTCTTCAGCAGAGATTTGTTCCTCTCCCAAACCTCTGTTTGGGATAGTTCAACCCCAACAGCAAAGCAAGAATTAAATAGAAAGAAAAGAGCAGTCACCTTTGAAGTTGTTGTCTGAAAGTGATTAACTGCTAAATAAACACCATCAAAGAACTGGATTCCAGAATCTCTGCATCATCACATGCTACAAAACAAAGATGCCAATCTCTCCTGCCTCCATGTTTACAACACCCAACTCTTCTCTCCTTGAAGTGAACCATCTAAACTCAACACACCATAAAGAAAGAATTTGTCTGTATTTAAACGTGTTGGATACTGCTAACAGTTTAAAAATCAGCATGTTTTTCACTAAAGCCACACACAAAAAAGTTAAAAACCACAAAACTTAAAATCATATATTGTAAACAAAATTTTATTTAGAACTTTAGATTGATTTTTTTTTTTAATTTACTTGTCACTATTTATGCTCTGTTTAATTTTAGTGCTTCTCTGTTTGGACAATAGAGTCAGTTTTGTTTTAGTCAATTTCACTTCTAGAGTTCTGGTTTCAAACACTTGATTTTTGTTAACATTTAGGAACATCTCTATTGGTCTTAGGTTCTATAAAAGCTTGTTTTTACAAAAATTAAATTTTGGGCTAAATTTAAATGGATACTGTCCATTTAGCCATTTATTAGTTTACTGAGATATTGCTCAGAGACTCAGTGAAGCTCAGGCCAGTTGTGCAAAGTGTTGTAAAAAACATACAGGAGCTTATTAATCAACAAGACAAAGGCGTCAGCAATAAAAAAGTGTGCTCACATAGGCTAGCTATGTCCATGTCTTAATGGTTCTGAATAATTTACGTTTTTAAAACTAAATAACAATCGCCACTAGCCCTTTATCCAGTCATCGGTTGACATCTGCTCATTAGTTTGTATTACTTAAAAACTGTTAGAACACATTCCAAAAATGTGGCAAATATCAAGCAAATGAACATTTGGCACTGTGATACAACCCCGATTTTATTACATCATCAGAGTGCAAATTGCTCTTTTTTAACATAACATTTTCCAAATCTATTAGATAAATAGGCATATCAGGTGCATCTAATTATACAGTACAAGAAGATACATGGAAAACTTGCTCTACCTCCCTTCCCTCTGGAACCTGGTAATTTGAACGTTTTCTTCTTACATAATTTATACCATATAGGCCAGTGCTTTTCAACTTTTTTTCATTTGCGGACTCCTGAACAATTTCAAAAGGAGATGCAGACTCCTTTGGAAACCTTGGGCATAGTCTGGGGACTCCTAGGGGTCCACGAACCACAGGTTGAAAACTGCTGATATAGGCAATTTGAGTATTTTATAATGCATATAACTTTTATAAATAAGAAACAGTATCTTGCATTTACAGTATCTGCACTATCTTCAGTTTTAGGCCTTCATACCTGGTGTATGTTGTCAGAACCGTCAATGGCAATTAAGTCAATGGCAAAACCTCAGTGGGAGCAGAATCAGGCTCCAGTGGCAGGCCCCTTGAACCAGACCGCAGGTTCTTTACGTACTATACAGGTCCACAAGCGATTCCTACTTTTAAGGCTTCCAAAAAACTTGAACACCCGCCCGCTACAAGGCAGGTCGATATACCAGCCCAGACGCAAAATACACTCACCCACCTGACGATGAAATATAGGATTTATTTTATTCCCGAATGAGTTTCATTCGCCCATCACTAACATGCAGCCACCTCGGGGGGGGGGGGGGGGGGGGGCCCGCCCGCGGGGGGGGGGGGGGGGGGGGGGGGGGGGGGGGGAAGAGACCGGCCAGGCAGCGTGGGCAGAGCAGGGGCGCGCTTGCCGAGCCCCTGGGGCGAGCCCTGCCAGGCTCGGAGCACCGCGCGCCAGCAGAGAGGACCCGCTGAGCACCGCGCGCCATGGCTGCGGCGGGGGCTCCCCTCACCCCAGCGCTCGAGGGCCCTACGGGGGCGGGGAGAGGACAGGGGCTGCCCGCGAGCAGGGTCTCAGTGACTAACCGGCCCGGCAGGGGGTCACGGTACCCCGCACCTCCCCCCTCAGCGCGCGGGGGCTGCCCATGTTCCACTGCCCACGGGCCGCCAATACCCCGCCTCTCGGGGGGCTCGGCTCCCTCCCTGCGCACAGACTCCGCCCCCCACCCGCGTGCCCCAAGGGCCGCGGGGACCCCGACGCCTCCTCACCTGCTCCCCGTCGCGCTCCCTCGCTCAGCCACCGCCGCCGCCACACCAGCTGCCCCTCTCCCTCCTCGCGCAAAGGGAGGCGGGGCTAGGCCCAGGTTCGCGAGGGAAGGGGCGGGGTAACGGTCAGTACCTGTGGGGTTCGTCCCTACAGCGGGTACTGGGACGGGCGGGCCTAGGCCCGCCCCGCTGACTGTTGGCAGCGAGTTTAAAAAGCATTAAGACTACACGTCCCAGCAGGCAATGGGGCCACAAATAGACGGCCGCTCCCGGCAGACACCGCGGCAAAAACTACAGCGCATCCTGGGACCTGCAGGCTCTACTCACGGCATTGCGTATTAGGTTACGTATGCCCCATGCGTCGCATTGTATGCTGGGATTTGTAGTCATATGGGTTGCTACTAGTGCTGCTTGCTATGCAGACTATATTGCTGATACTTGTGCTATCTTGAAGCAGAATCCGACGTCCAGTGTGTACCAGCACAGCCAGGTGTAGCAGCACTGAGGCAGTGCAGTCAATAGACAGTTTGCCATAGGGAAGGGATTTTAACCTTTTAGAGCCCTGAGCCATGTCAAATGACTGGAGCTAAGAAATAAAAAAGGTCAAGCTCTCACCTGCTCTTCTGTGTGTCACTTCTTTTCCACAGGGTGCTGGAGAAATAACCCCGACTCCAGTACACAGCAGTAGTTGCACATAGACAAGGGATTTGGGTTTGTAGGTTGGAGAAACTGAAAATAACTGAAAACTAACATTCTTTTGGTTTTTGAAAATCAAACGTTTTTCAGTTTTTAAAAACAAACAACTATTGGGGTTTCCTTTTGGGGGAAACCCTGCTCCCTGCCTTCCCTGAACAATCTCGATGAAAATATTAGTTTTTTGTTTAAAACCCTTTAAAATGTTTTTGTGGAAACTATTTACTATTTTCCAAGTATCATTAGTCCCATTTTACAGATGGATAAACTGAGGCACAAAGCAGTGAAATGACTTGTCCAAGGTCATGCAGCAGGCCAGTTGTGGAACCCAGCTCTCCTGAGACCCAGTCCATTGTTCTATCAACTAGGCCATACAACATCCTTTTCCAGTTTCCAAACAGCAATAGCTGAGAACCAGTGGCTAAAGCAGAGACAACCTGTGCCTGCTGATAGTGTTGGGGGAAGAGTGAGGGCAGCCAGCTTCAGCAGTGTTACTGAGCATGCTCAGTACAAACCAAGCAGCAAATCTGGGGGAGCAGATTACCCTGCATGCTGCCTCCACCCCCATGCGTCATCTCTGGACTAAAGAAATTAAGGACCCTTTCTGGATGAACAAAAGTTGCGAACTTTCTGACTGCAGAAAAGTGAACACCCTTGCCCTCGTCCCTGTCCCACCCCCTCCCCAAGGCTCCTGCCCCTCCCCGAGGCTCCTGCCCCACCCCTTCTCTGAGCCCCCTGTCGCTCACTCTCCCCCACGGTTGCTCACTCGCTCATTTTCACTGGGGCAGGGGTGCGGGAGGAAATGAGGGCTCTGGCTGGGGGTGCAGACTCTGGGAGGGAGGCCTAGGATGCGGGGTTTGGGGTGCAGGAGAGGACTCTGGGTTGGGGTGTGTGGTCAAGGGCCTTGGAGTGTGGGAGGGGGCTCGGGGCTGGGGCAGGGGGTTGGATGCAGAAGGAGGTGAGGGCTCTGGCTGGGGGTGCGGGCTCTGGGGTGGGACCAGAAATGAGGGGTTCAGAGTGTAGGAGG